TATGTTGGGATAAGTTGGCTAATGTGATCTGGAAATGCTAATAAGAAGCTTCATTGTTAAAGAAAATATTGAATAAAGGAGAGTCAAAAATGTTAATCAAGGGTGATAGTGATATTTTTAGAAAATGTTTGATATTAGTAGAATATATAAGATCAATATAATTTGCATTAAGATTAAGTTGTTTGTTGGCTTTTTTTCTTTCCAAGAACTAAGTAAAGAGGATAGCAGATACTTCTAAAGTACAACAGCTAGAGATATGGTTAGAGTTAAGGTTACAGCCTTGACAAGGTGTACAAGAAATAGGAAGTAGTGAATAATGATTAGAGATAGAAGTATCAATATTATATTGCCAGTGTGTTATAGAGATAGTGTTTGTTTGCAAGAAAGTTCTGTGAACTTGACCAATTACAATATGTTCATTGTAATAAGATAGAACTCAAGGTTTGTAAGTTTTAGGAATAAGGTTGGTTTGAAATGCAAAAGAGTTAGAGCTATTGGGCTGAAAGAGAGGTAGAATAGTGCAAGATAGATTGTTTTTAAGAATAGTATCTTCTAAGTAATTAAACCAAAGTGGTTTTTTGCCTTTGGAAATATATAAGATTCTAGATGATAAATGTAGCTAATCTAACAAGATCTTGTTGTCTGCTGAGCAAAGTTGCTCTAGATATAAAATATTTTTGTGTCTAAGTTGTTGTTTAAAAGTGTTATATTTAAGGTGATTAGAAAGAATATTTTCAAGTGGAGTGTTGCTATTATTTATAGTTTTGGGCCAGGAGAAATCCGAGTATACATGTATAGAGATATGTGAATGATTAAAAAGTTGTATAATTTTTAGAGTAGTGGTGTGTTTATTAGAATCATCGATAATAGAGTGAGGGTGTTGGAGAATGTTAGTTGTGGACCAGAGATTGTTCTGAAGGTGTTGAAGTCGAATATGTATTGTAGTGCCAAGAGTAGATAAGTTGTTAATCCGGTTAAGAAAGTTACTAATATGGTGTTGTAGCTATATATCCCAAATATTGTGAATATTATAAATTGTGATTAAGAAGTGTGCTATTAGGAGTAGACTGAAAAAGATGTGCTTTGTGTTTAGCTATAGTAAGGTATTTGCCCAAGATTTGGTTGTATTTGTATAGAGAAATTACAATATTATGAAGCCAATATTCAGTAGTTGGAATAATAACAGTGTTAATAATATAAGTAATTTGTTTATCAGTTATATTTTTGGTACTAGCAATGTTGGCTAGCTGGATAGCTTCATTTTGAATTAGTTTGATTTGTGAAAACTGCTTGTTGTTGAGAGTAAACCAGCATCTTAGAAATTTAAAGGGTTGATAGGGTAGAATAAATTGCAAATTTGAATCAAAAAATGACAGACTAGAAGAGGATTCTGTAGAGATAAATATGGATTTGGTAGGATTGACTTGAATATCAGCCATGGAGTAAAAGAAGGAGATGATTTTAGTAATTTCTTCAAGTTGTATTTTGGATTGGGCAATTCATAATATATCATCCATATAAGCAAGACTGAAATGGATATATTAAGGTAATTTGTAAAAGGGTGAATAAGGCTAGTTTGATAAGAAGTAGAGAGTGTATATCCAGAAAGTGTATAGAAATATTGGAAATAAGGGGGTTATAATAAATTCTCCAAAATAAAGGAGTTATAGTTTCACCTTAATCAATACTATTTTTAACCGAATAGAAATTTGTAAGACCAAAATTAGTGATAACTCAGTTTGTGCAATTAAATAAGAGATTGGTTAGGATATTAATAAGCTATTGAGGTATTTGGATTCGGTATAGAGATTTTTGAAATAAGTCAAAGTTAACTGAGTCATAAGCTTTGCTCATATCCTGGGAAAGAAGCCAGAGTTGGTTGGAATTACAGTTTGTATCTTCGATTATATTATTAAGGATATGGATAGGTATAGAAGTAACTAGGAAGTACAACAAAGTTAAATGGTAATAGGATATTATGTTGAGATAGGGTAAGGTTAAGGTGGTTGGTGAGGAGTTTAGTGTATAGCTTTTTAATATATTCTATTAGGCTAATAAATCTGGTATTGGATAAGTTGCCATCAAAAATAGGTTTTTTTGAAATAGGAAAGATACATTCTTTTTTCTATTGTTTGAGTATAGTTTGATAAAAGAGATAGCGATTGAAGAAAGATGTTATAGTAGTAATGAAGTTGGGGCTAGTATGTTTTAACATTTTATAGCTAATGTCTGATAGGCCCCAAACTTTGTTGTTAGGAAATTGATTAATAGTTAGCATAATTTTATCCTCAGTAAAGTTAATAAGAGTATTGGAATACCATATTGGGTTGATGTTGGGTTTAGAATTATATTCTGCTTGCTATTGAGAATTGAAAATATCAGAGTTGATATGTTGAGGAGCAGTCCAGTTTTCGAAATATTGTTGAATATGAGATTTAATTGTTGAAGGATCCGTAATAATATCATTATCTTGTTGAATATTGTTAAATTTAACTGGGCAATTAAGAATACTATTAATTATTGAAGTGGGATGAGTTTGGAGTTTAGAATATCTTTTGTTAATAGCATCAGAAATTTGTTGTTTGATTTCTTTAATGTTTTCCATATTACGAGCATAGAAAAGATTTTTTCACTCTAAGTTAGCATCAGTAATCCAAGGAGTGAGAAGTTGGTAAGAGTTTGGAAGTAGAGGAATATGTCTCAGAGGAATGATTAAGTGAAGAGATAGAGGTATTAAGATGATAAAGAATAGATAACTAGTGTTTTAAAGCATGTTTAGTTTGTTAAATAATGTTGCCAAGTTTTTTAAAGTTTGAGTGTAGATGAGTAGTCTTAGAAGAGAATGTGTATTAAAAATTATGAACAGTAAATTTTTTGTTAGGAATGTGTTTTAGAGTAGCCGTAATTATACTAGTTTGAATTTTATGCCAAGTAGTTTCAAGAGATTCTGAAGTGTTAGATGAGGAAGAAGTTTGATTAGAATTAAGATTGGTATTAACTTGGCTTGAGAATTCTTCTCATTTTGTATTGTTTATAGCCTTGTAGTTAAAGACCCTTCTACAAGTATGTGTTTTATGTCTGCGTTAACCATGCAAAGCATAAGGGAAAGTCTAGCGGGAAATGAGAATTTTATGATCACTTAATGAGTTTGTATTTGTATTATCAATGTTAAAAGAAGTAAGATAAGTTAAAATAGTGTAACAAGCCCAAATAAAGTCAATTTCACTACTGGATTTATAATTATGCCAAGTAGGAGCAGAAGAGGCAGTGTGCAAGATGAGATTGTATATATTGTTATATATGAGAAATTAGAGAAGTTTATATTTGATAGAAGAAGAGTGAATATTATTAGTAGAAGCATTGAAGTCTCCAAGTACTATAGGGAGTATATTAAGAGTACAGTCTTCCTCCTATATAATCACAACTCCTATACTGTTACACAAATTTTTAACCTCATTTGTTTTTATATAAAAATACCTTTGTATAATCACAATTAGCTTATAATCACTATTATGTTATATATCATAAATAAAATATATATATATATATATTTTCCTTCTATATAATTACATTTAGAACAGATAATAAATAATGAATGTATGGATATATGGTAAGCAACTGTGAATGAATATCCTTTTAACAAGCTATAAAATTTAAATTCAATATGGTAAGTCAAAAAACTTTATTGACAATTTCTGATTCGATATAAAGTTGATATATTTCAGAAAAAAATTTAAATTCGAATATCTCTCCTTTATTAATTATAAAGAAATTTTCAATATTTTATTAAAGTCAATCGAAACTAATTAACCCTAACATAATTTTTTTTAATAAAAAGATTCTTGAAAATATTTATTTAACATGTTGCAATATATAAACAAATATGATATATGAACTTAATTAAATTTATATTGCATATTTCAATTCATTATAATTTAATTTTTGCCTCAGAATTACCTTAAATTTATAACGAACCAGATGTTTTTGCAAAAAGTTTTCTATATGTTAATACTTAACAGATACATATAATTTGACCTACATGTTTATTTTGCAGACAAACAAGTTTGTTTTATAAACAATTTATTTTACTAACAAGCTCACTTTGTAGACAGGTTTTTTATAACAGCTTATTTCACAGAAGAGTTTATTTCTTATAAATTATGTTATCTCTAGTTCTACTAGAATTACTTTGTGAAATGAGTTGTTAGCGAAAAAAACTGTCTACATAATGAGTTTGTTGGTAAATAAAACTGTCTATGATATGAACTTGTTTGTAATTAATTCTCTGTAAAATAAACATATCCGTGAAATGATTGTCTGTGTAGTGTTGTGTTTATAAAAGGAGCGTCAGTGAAGTGAAAGAACCAACATATAACATTAAGGTGTCTAATATCGGTTTAATCACAAACATAGTGCAAGCTATATAGTGAAGATTATTAATGATCTTCACTATGCAGCTTGTACTATATTTGTGATTAAACCGATATTAGACACTCTAACGTAACATACACTGCATATTCCAATATGTACATAACTATTTTTTTACTATAGAGAAAAGAAACTGCATTAGCTTATTTTATGTGTAGCAGATCGCTTTTAGTTATATAAAGTGTTTTATCTTATTTTCTATAGAATATCGGTTAAGAACCATACTGTGCTGAAGATGTTTTTATATATTGTAAGTCTTACCAAGGACTTAGAAAATACTTTCACATATGTTTTATATTTGCAACTAACTAAAGTCTTAATAAAGGAATTCTTAAGAGATAATTCCTTTATTTTATGTCACAGTACTTAGGATAATTATCATAAAATACTTTATTTTGTTGCATTATTGTGAATTGCATATACTGTATTATTGTTACTGTGTGCAAAGTTATTTAATACATATATTTATTTTAAAAATACATTTATTTTTCACATATTTCACTATATACAATTTATAGTAATTACTTGATCTCAAATGTTAATTGCATATTTGATAAAATTATTCATACAATTTAGTTCTCATAATCATCAGAAGAACTGCCATAGTTATCAGAAAAATCGTTATAATCAGGAAAATTGTATTTAGGAAGACTAACATAATCAGGAAAGTTGTTACTAGAATAAATATCATTGAACCCATTATTATTACTATTATCAGAGAAAGCACCATCATTATTGCTACCAGAGAAATTATCGTCAAAATAATTATCATTAATAGCTTGATTTTCCTGATTAAAAAAATCTGCAATAGATTTTTGTTTCATAAATTTAGTAGTTTTACGCTTTATTAATTGTGAGTATATTCGAAATATTTTTAGATCGTTACTATTAAAGAAAAAATCATTATTCATTTGTTCTGCAAATAAAATAAAAGTTTTCAACCTATTTAACCCTTCAGAAACAGAAATTTTTGGAGGTTCCTTATTAGAATCTTCTGGATCGCCTTGTTCACATTCTAATTCTTCTGCTAATACAGTTTCAACAATTTGGATATCGTCAAGTATTTCCTCCATAGGAATATGAGCATTATTAATTTCTTGGTAGATATCTATTTCTTGTGAAACCATTTGATCTGCACTTGTAGTTAGATCAATTATTTCATTTTCCTCATTTTCAATTATTTCTAAATATGTATATTGTGCAAGTTCAATATCGACATGCGGCACTAGTGGCAAAATACCTGTCTTTATCCAACAATTTGCCATTGTTAATTCATCAACTTCATCCCATGAAGTTGCTACGTAGTCAATGGCTTCCTTAATATTTAATTTATTTCTAACAAAAAAATAATAATTTAATATTATACAGAACATTATAGTAAAACCTTTATAAGTGCACTTACTACAAGTGCATACCCTCTCTATAAATGCGGGCTCATGTATATATAAGTATAAGCTTTATAAAATCTATTTTCTTATTATTTTTTAATGCACATTGTTAAAGCTTAATACTAACAATGAATACTTATAGAAGTTTTACTATACAGTAAAACTTCTATATTGCATATCTTCTCTTTTAAATATATAGTATACTTACTCAGGGTCTCGAATATCTATTCCTCTCTCAAATTGATTTAGAATATGGTGAATATATTTTTTTTGATATTTTGCTTTGAAGCATTTAATAATTCCTGCATCCATAGGTTGCAGATGTGAGGTAGTAAGAGCAGGCAAGAATTTGATTTGAATATTTGTAAGTTGATAATTAGATAAGTCTGGAAGTATATAAACACTTGCTTGACTTCTGCCATGCTTGCCCTTACTTTGTCGGTTAGTATAACTTTGTTGGCTATTTGGAGTAGCATTGCTTAATTTGGGGCGACCATGACCATAACTACGGCCACAACCACAACTATAACCACAACTACAGCTATGACTATGGCTATTTGATCTAGTAGAATGTAATTCTTCAGAATTAGTATGACCAGGCTCTTCATCAGATGAATTTGAGTTTGGATTAAAATAGCTTGTTGCATTGTCAAGTAAGAGTAAAATTTTTCGATTTTGAAGTTGAAATTGATTATCAAGATCTTTTAACCACTTTGCGAATATGTCACTTCGCATCCATGCTTTCGGGTTAGAACGGTATATTACAGGTAAATTAGCATAGTTAATACCAGATAATGCCTGTGGTTCGATTGAAGATCCTATTACAATAGGCTTTAATTTCTCTGTACCAGTAGCATTATATGCTAAAAGAACAGTGATACGAGTACAATCCTAAATTTATTAAAAGAATTTAGCCAGATATTAGTATTAATAGCATGAAATATTAATATAGTAGTAGTAACGGGCATTATGATATGGCGCTTAATTGTCCCATAGTATAACTTATATAAACCTTAACATCTGATATGTATAATTTTATATTGTAAAAATTAAGCACTACACATGCCTATCTCTAATTAATAATCTAAATTTTTACAATTATTAGATCCAAATTATTTATTTTTTATTAAAATAAAGTAATGTACTTATTATAAGCGCATACACACTCTAAATGCATATACAAACTCCATCCAAATGCACTTTTCTCTTTAAATGCTTATTGCTAAAGTTTTGTCTAAAAATGTGTATTTATAGAGAGTTTACTACATTACAGCAATAATGACTTTCCTTTTTCCATCCTGAATGAGATTGTGATGCTAATATTTGGTTTGGAGCTATACAGAAATACAACCCTGTTTCATCAGCATTAAATACATCATTCAATGCATATATTTGAATGCTATTTTGTAAATTTTGGCGGAATTCTGGAAGATTACTGGTTGCTACACTGCTAGCTTCTCTGTGTAATTTGAAATTTTGTAAACTATTCTGTTTTTTAAATTGCCTTATCCAACCATTAGAAAATTTTAATTCTTTATCAGACAATGAAAGTGCTTTAACAAAATAAGCAGCCTTTTTTTTGATAAGTGCTTCAGTTAAGAATAACCCATTGCTAACAATTTGCTTAACTTATAACTTCATAGCCTGGTCTAGCAAGAGAAATTTTACTTTTTTATGATGAAAAGTATCAGAAGTTGTTTTATCTTTAACAATGGCCAACTATTTATCTTTTTCTTTTAGAATTTTAGAGATGGTTGAATGTTTGAGATTCCAGTTTGGATCTTGGGCATTAAAGTGCTTAGCGATTTGTATTTGAGTTTTATTGGGATTTTTTTTATTATAATTACAAATATCACTTTTTAAACTATCACTAACTGCTATACGTGGTTTTTTAACAGGCTGATTGGAATTCATAATGAGCAATAATAATTGAAAGTTTTTAAGCAGAGCGAACAAGAAAAATCAGATTAAAGGTGCATATCTTATATATGCTAAAGTAACTTTGTATGTATATAACAATTTATGTCATTGTGAAAATTTCTCAGAATTAATAATTAAATAAATATATGCAACGTAGTTAGTAAATTATAATAATGACGATTCTAAGTCTATTTGTACTGAATAAATATATATAGAAAGTGCAGTTAGCAGAATTTATTAATAATAAATTCACTACGTAATATATAATGGATTAAGCATAAGCTTCATACTGTATATACAAATAATTATATACTAAAAAAGGTTATCACTGTTCGAATTAGTGAGATCAAAGAATCTTGCATATTACCATTGTTAATAGCAATATACAGGATTTATAGAATTCACAAAGTCATTGGTAGTACTAATTTCGAAAACAGAAATAAATAATTGCCGAATTTGTTCAAGATTTCTTTAAAAAAAAGGCCAGCTCATTGACTTAATAAATAAACTTACTTGATTAAGGAATTGTATGATTGTGGGTAAAATCTATTTTAAGACAGTATAAAGTCTAAAAAATAACAGGTCAGGTGCTCTCTAATAAATTATGTTATCCTTTTTTTTCTTTTAAATTGCAATAAGATATAGCCACAACTCTTATTAAACCAGATGCCAAAAAAAGTTAGTATAAAACTTTTATTAGCATAAACAGTAATATATAATTAGTTAAATAAAAACTATGCTATAGGTAAAAAAAAAAATCTATTTCAGAGCCAAAGAAAATTATGGTTGGAGGTTTTATGCTACTCCAACTTTATAACATGGATATAATGAATAATTTAATACATTAAGCCAAATTATTTAACTACAAATGGGATGTGATCCTGCTTAAATCGGTTAAGCTAACTCTGTTCCAAAGCACACACAAAAACTAGGTTTCAAACTCTGCTTTAAAACCAGTTATACAAATGAATATTAATTATATTTGCCCGAACATGTTAGTTTAAACAGCTATTTAGAATACATGCATAAATTCATATTGAATATTTGCATAATACATGTTACAGCTGATGCTGAAGTTGGCTGATGTTGAAGGCTTGATCTAATTTGATATAAAATTTTAAATTTTTTATTGGATGCTTTTTTTCAGTTTTGTCTTATAGAGTTAGAGTAGGGTTTGGGTGTAGATTTCATATTTATAGAGTATATATGGATTTTAGCAGGGCTTATAGTTTTAAATTGAGACCTCATGCCTTTAGCATTAGCCGTGATAGTTAATATTTTTTTTTTTTTTTTTTTTTTTTTTTAATCTTCATGGGTTTTGTCATGGCTTGCTTTTTATTAAAATGTATATAAGAACTATATATATTTAATTTATAGAACTCAAAGCCCAACTTCACTC